TGGCTGATGAGGAGAACATGCTGTCCTGAGGATCTAGGAAACTGTGGGACCGGTCACGCCTTCTGGACTTCACGGTGTGTGCATTGGAGGGAATCGAAACTCTTGTCACTTTACTAGGTGTGCAGTTAGTCAAGTTTCTTAACCTTGGTCAACCTTAGTTTCCGCCAGTTTTACAAGGCTGTGACTTTACCCCATGAGCTCTGTCCTCTGATATACAAAAAGTATACTTGGGTTTAAGTATTAAAAAAAAAAAGAGCCAGGGAGGTGGAGATAAAGGTGCTATCTGTTGACCCTCACAGAAAAGAACATTTTCGAAAGCATAATCTCAGGTGGTCAGGTGCGAATGAAGATAGGAAAGCAATGTTATCTCTGAAAAAAAGCCCATGACAAGATGAATAAAAGTATAGAATTTTCAACTTGAAAGTGCCTTTAGAAACTTTTAACTCCTAATCCTTTATCTAATGTAATTGAATGCCTTCTAGAAGGCATTGCACTAAACCTTGGCGGTTTAGAAAGAAGACAGAGCTGGGCCTCCCTGGTGGCGCAGCGGTTGAGCACTGGGCTGTGAAGCTGCCCGCAGCCTCTGCAGCGTAGGTTCGATCCCCGACCTCCGGGCGAGGGTCCCACATGGCGCGCAGACCTCTCCTGCCGCCCGCTGCTCCCCTCAGCAGTGCGTTTTCGTCCTTCTGCCTGCTCTGCTCTCCCCCTCTGTCTCTGGTGAATTCTCTCACCCTCCCGTGCTTCTGACTGTACCCAGTGCTTGTATAAATAAATAAATAAAATCTTTTAAAAAAAAAAAAAAAAAAGAAAGAAAGAAGACAGAGCTGAGGATAGGACTTCGTGTATGCATTTAAGAGGCGGGAAGTGCACTATAGATAATACAGTAAAAGCTGTAGAAGATTTTTTTTAAAGATATATATTTTAGTTTTTTTATACTTTGTAAATATGACTTGCCATATTCCAGTTTTACAGTTGTCTTCTAACGCCGTGTGTCTTTACTTACTTCCTTGTTTGGCCTTGCTCCCATATATCCCACCTCTGGTTTTTACCTGTCCGAATACTCAGGAGAAACTCTACCTGTGAATAAAATCATTCACTTGTCAGTGTAGCCCTTAGAGATTTCTCCCTCCCATGAGATCATAGCATTATTATTTGTCTCCCTGATTTGACATGTACAGCTTCCTGACATGTCTTCTGCAGTAACGCTTTGCTCCTCCCTTTTAGAAATAGTTGGAAAGCTGATCAAGCGACAGTGGGAAGCCCAGAGAAGGGAAAGGCACTCACCCTTTATTCTCTGGACTCCAGGTTGTTCTTCATTAAAACAATCATGAAGTACATATTAAGCGATTCCTTAATTTTATGTAATAAAACAAACTTACTGTTTTCTGCCTCTGTAGCATCTGCAACCTAATAGTGGAAACAGAACATGAACAAGTAAATAAACAGATGTGAAATTACAACTTGTAATGACTTCAGTAAAGGAAGGTAAGAGTGCTGTGAGAGAAAAAGGATTTTAGGTCGTGTGGGCAGGGATGACTTCTCTTAACCACTGATACAAACATCAAGAAGTAGCCAGGCAGGAAGAAGTTTCCTGGAAGAGAGGAAAATACGAAGGTAAAGCTTAGTGTGTTTGAAGAAATGAAACAAGTTCAGGATGGCAGAAGCATAACCATATAGAGGAGAACTGTGCAGGAGAAAATGAGGCAGAAGGCAGATCACACTGGGCCTTGCAGGGCCTGCTAAAGTCTTAGGGCTTTACTAAGAACATTGCTGTCATGTGTGATTTCGAAGCCGATAATATGCTTTAATTTAGATTTGAAAAATCTCACTGGTTGAGAATGAATTGGTGAAAGACAAGAGTAAAAGCAAAGAAACTCTAGTAATGGCAGTTGTCCAGGCTGGTTAGGTGTCCATGGTGGTAGTTGGAAGGAGGGCAGCAGCATGGAGGTGCAGGAAAGAGCAAGGACATACAGGTATGGGTAGAAACATTGGCAACGTGGTGCTGGATCGGATATTGAAGGAAAGATATCAAACATGTCCTCTACATTTCTGGCTTGAGGAACTCCATAGATGGGTGGTGAAATTTGCTCACACAAATAAGATGAGGGGAAGAAAAGGTTTGGCAGGAAATCAAGTTTTGAACACCATCCCCAGTGTTTCAGAAGGTGGTGGGGACTGCCTTCTTCTGAGCACAGAGGCCTCAGTCTGGATTGCTCTCTCTCTGTGTGACATCATACTGTGACACATGCCTAGTGTGTGTTTTGAGAGGAAGGAGTGAGCTGCATATTTATGCTAGAAAAGTTGATAATCAAAGTATTTTTAACAATGCACTGCAGCTTCTGAAAGTTTATTTGCAAATATTTTAATACAGGTTATATTGATTTTGAAGTTAGAGGGAAAAAGTTAACTAGAATATAGTATTAGATCAGTTTACATATTATTTGGGTGATGGGACAAATACAAAAGTCTGTTAGTCCTGATAGTTTCAGGACAGTAACACTCTTTAAAAGTTATTAGCTTTGTTGACAGTCTAATATTAAATTTATCATTTTTAATGAGGCTTCTGGTGCTTATGAGTAGAAATAATAGCACAGGTCATTAATAGCTATTATTTATCAAATAACTGTAGCTAATGATATTTCTGTTATTAACTGAAGTTAACCAAGTGAATAATTTTTTATTATACTTTACAACTTTTTTTAGCCAATAATTTAAAACATAATCATTGCCACAAAGGGCCATGATTTGAAACCCTGCAAAAATAATTTTTCTTGTCCGTTGGTCATTTCAGTTTCAGTTTACCTGGCTAAGCAGCTACAGTATAAAATATATTACATTTTATTTTATTGGAAATCAATGGCTGAAAGATAACTGTTAATATATAGTTCTTTTGTAAGAGGAAGGAAAATAGGTTATGTGGTTAGGTGTCATATTTTGCATTAAATTTGTTTTTTTTAATCTTCAAGTTTTGTGCTTTATAACAAATGGAGTAAATTAAAAATTATTCTTTTTTCATGGAAGTAACTGACTATCACTCATTTTCTTTTTCTCTGTATTTTTGATTATGTTATCTTTGCAAATATTATCTTAAGAAAGACAAATGTTCATTAAGATTTTTTCGTCCACTTGAGGACCTGTTAAATTACAAGTCTAGTGATTTAACATTATAGAAACTGAGATACAGAGAACCAAATTTGCCCAACGTTTCTAGTAGTAGGAAATATTTCATTTCAGATGATGTATAATTTAGTGTATTTGCTGCATATCCAATACACTTAAAAGTTCTGCTTAAATTCTTTTCAAGACCATCCTGTATTTCTTTACCAATTTTTTTGAATGATGTATTCTAACTGGTGATTTATAAATATTTACTTATGCTTCATGTTGTTACAGTTTTTTTAACTTATGTTAGACATTCAGAAAAGTGCACAAATCCTTAGTGTAACTCTGTGACATAGCAAAGTAAACACGTCTCTAAAACCAGTACCCAGGTCAAGAAATAGGGTGTTACTGGTACCCCACAAGCTACCTCAAACTCCTGTCCAATTATCATTTCCCTTCTCCCTTCCCAGAAGTAACCATAGTGCAAACTTATTTTTTTTTAAATTTTATTTTCTCGCATTGTTGTTCATTTTTCTACAATATTTGATTTCCCCCCTCAGGGCTAGTCCCTATAAATCTCCCACCACCACATCGTCACCTGTCACCATGGCCCTTGTGCTCTTCCCTCCCCTGTTTTCACTCCTCTCCCTCCACTTCCCCTGCTGGAGGCCTCAGATCTAAAGTTTCATTGTGCAAACTTTTAAAACCATAGAGTAGTTTTGCCAGTTTTTGAACTTTAGGTAAATGGACTCCTATAGCATGTATGCTTTTGCTAATTTCATGTCGCTGAGACTAAGGTGTGTTTCTCCAAGTTTGTAGGAGTAGCTTGTTGGTTTTCATAGCTGTTGATGCTAATATACGATGGATACGTTTTCTCCTCAGTTTGGGGCTGTTAAGAATAATACTGAGACAAACGTCCCGTCATGTCTTCTGGTGCACAGGTTCCCAGAGAGTATATATTTCTAGAAGTGGAAAAGTTTGTCATGGGTATCCACTGTTGTTGTTCTTTTAAATTATATTTTCTTACATCATTGTTAATTTTCGGACGGTATTTGATTTCTCCCCTCAGGTGTAGTCCCCCTGGTTCTCCCACCACCGTAGCACCTGGTGAGCATCACCGCAGTCCCTTGTGCTCTGCCTTCCCCTGTTTGGATCCATTCCCCAACCCCCTCCCCCCCAACACCATGTATGCCTCAGGTCTCTGGTTAGCTTGCCAGTTTTGCCTTTTTCCTAACGCTTTGTTTGGTTTCTCTATATTCCACATGTAAGTGAAACCGTTTGATATTTATCTTTTTCTTTTTGACTTTTTTTGTTTAGCATAATCCCTTCCAGCTCTCCATGTTGCTCTAAATGGCATGAGTTTATCTTTTTGGATCGCTGAGTAGTACTCCATTGTGTGTACAGCTAAACATATGTTTTAACTTTAGCAATAATGCCATACAGTTTTCCCGACGTGTTGTTTCGGCTTACATGTCTCTTTGTAGCACATGAGAATTGCAATTGCTATTTGAAAAATCATGTGCTTTTAAAAATCTAAAGAGGACTGTTTGGTGGTGAATAGCTATTTCATCTAGATGAGATATAATACAAAGGCATATGAAATAACAAATATGAAGATTTTTTTTTCAAATATGAAGATTTTGCATTCAAAAATTAATATCCATGTTGTGCCTGTTGGATTACAGCAGATTTGAACAAGATAAAATTTTGTGTTGAGGCTATAGTGAAGTAAAAGATACTTTCTTTACTAAATTCTTCAGAATGTATGTTTTTATTTTAAAAGAGTGAGTAGTACACCATTTTAGGAGATATGACTTGGGAAGAATGAAAAAATAGATATGTATAACTTAAATATTGAAAGAGCTACAGGAAGAAAATGTTAGTCTAAATGAATTTGATAGCTATTAGATGAAATGTGCGTGACACTTTGAAGTAAGGCCCTAGGGAGGAAGGCAGTGGCATCAGAGAAATGTCTTCTTATTCCTGAGACTATAGGAATGGTTCAGAAATGGCCAAAGTTCCCCTGGCTCCTGAGAGAGGGGTGCCTCTCACTGCATACTCAGGGACGCAACTGTTGCATTTTTAGTATCCTTTTGGTCAGAGATTTCAAGGAGGGCCCTGAGATGTTACATGGTTTCATCAAAGTACTGGGAAATTGGGTTTTAAATCTTTATACTAGCAGTAAGAAAAGCATTTTAAAGAACTAATTTAAAGAAAATTATTCCAAGAAAAATGGAATTGAGTTTCCATTTGGAAACAGATTTAAGGATTTCGATGCAAAGTTACATTTTAGCGGATGTTTTGAGGAAGATGTGTCAACATTTGACTGAATTTGAAATGCTAAGTAAGTGGATTTGATAGAAATGAAATTACTTTATAGAAGCTTTTGTCTATTAAACTACTTTATTTTTGTAAGATGATTTGTACATAGAAGAACTGGGGTGTTTGCCAGAGGCGTAAGGGTAAGAGGATTCGCCAGAAACAGAGTGGGGAGCTGAACAGGTGGATCTACTGAAGTGCGCTGCTTGGGCGAGACAGGAGAGGTCTGCTGTTCCCTGTGTAGGTTAGCTCCCTGGCCAGGGATCGAACTCTGGCCACAGCAGTGAGGCCCAGTTAGACTACTTTAAATCAGCCAGAAAAGCAAGGAAAGCCATAAAAAGGAAAATCCAAGATAGCGTAGTATCTTAGAAGCTAAGAATTTCCAGAAAGCAGAGAGGTTAATTGAGTTGAGTTTAGAAAACAAGTTAAAGGTTTTTGTTGTGGTCTAGGCAGGGTGGTGGCTGCTTAGATAATTAAGTCTTTTTAAAACACTCAGAGCTGAATAAAAGTGGTGGATGGGATGCATAGATGATTGGAAACCTCAGAGAGAAGATGAAATTTGAGGCTAGCTTCTGTTGTCACTTGGGTTAGTGATGGCAATGTTCAAAGACTGCCTTTGAGGAAATGTTTGGATTTGGCTAAAAAATTCCTGGTCACCTTTGAAAGTATAGTTGCAGTGATTTTATGGGGGCAGAAACGAACATGTATAAGATTAACCAGCAAATGGATATTTATTTGGAAAATGGAGGCAGTGGATCACTTACTTTCAATATTTGTCACTGAATAGAAGGCTAGAAATAGGATGATTTTGTTTGTGCACTAGTTGTTCTTGTTGTTCAAATAGGGTCCTGATGCCTTAACATAGAAGGGGGAAATAGCCCATTGCAAGGGGGATGGTTAGAGATGTCCAGAGAGATGGAAGGTGAGTGTAGGTTCCTTTGAAAGGCTAGTTTTCTTTGCAGAAGTCATGTTTTGTCTTCTATTAGTAAAAAAAAAAAAAAAAAAAAAAAAAAAGAGGAATAGATGCAGGGAAAGGTATGTGCTTCTGAAAAGACAGCTGGTGA